AGAGCTAGAGGCTAAAGTTTCAAAACTGCTCTTCGTATCACTTGATACTTCAATCTGCAATTCATAGACACCAACAAGATTTAAAATTATCGTTACTCTTGTAAATCTGAAGCTGTTAAGATATCAGTTCAATTACAATTACAAACTATTTGACTGTGTGTACACACACACACACACACACACATATATATATATATATATATATATATATTAACTGCTGTTTCATTAAACTGTGCTGAAACCCTGTTCTGTTTAATAGCAGGTTCATCTATGACAACTTACCCCACATTGAGTGCTCCAGTTGCAGGATTTTGTTTCAATTAGCTTTTCTGGGCAATATGGACGAATATGTTTTATAGTTTTTTCGTAGCCAAAACTTTAAAGTTCTTCGCGTCTATACAAAAAAAAAGACATTTCTATTTGCCTAAGACTGTAAAACATAACTATCCCCGGTCTACACTATATAAATATATAATAGACAGAAATTGTGGAATATATTCTCGTTTGGAGTCTCAATCAAGTCTGCGCGGTCTGTACTCGCGCGCCATCTACTGCCCTGTATGAAAACTGCCCTTTAAGACACCTTACTTACCAAAAAAATAAAAAAAAAACTTGGCACCAAACGGCCGCCCGGCGTCTTCATCCCACTGGAATCTCAGGAATACAAAGCTCTTATCTCTCTCCACACGTTGCTTGTCGGTGACTATTAACAAAGAGCATTGTGTTCGCTTGAGCGAGCGGGCGGGAGGCGGAGAGCGCGCGTATATAAGCGCTTCTTTACAGGGGTGTGCTCGAGACTACAGAAAGATGCATAAGTGCATTAAGACTGCAGCTTAATAGTGCAAAACTCAACCCTTTTAGCTGTTTGCGAATTTATTGGATTATCACCATTTGTGCCACATCAGGAACATAAGATTAAATAAAATGGATTTGAGGATTCTTTTTCCATTGTTGTCCATGCTGTCATCTGGAATTTTTGATTTGGGTATGTACTTATTTTAAGTATATGTATATCCAATATAATGTGTTAAAGATTATTTGAGTGCCTTTTAATTAGTTGCCTTAATTACTGTTACAAGTTTTTAAAGTTTACATAAGTATTAAACAATCTACAATGTGTCAAAATACAGACCTAAAGGTGCAGGTATAGGCTAATTAAGTAGGTGTAATACTTTATAACGTTGCTTAACCTATAAAAACATGCAAGATAACGTTTTACTATTCTTTTATCTATAAGATGAGCATCACTGTCATTTTTAATTGAGCGTGACAAATTCCAGTTTTTCCAGTCCATCAAACAGTTTTGCAACTTAAGAGTGTAAAACCACAGTGCGTGTTTGTAGGTAGAATTGTTTATGTAGCAAAACCTTATGAATTCAACATAATTTTATGATTTTAGCTGCTCCAGCATCTTTGGGTCATGGCACAGCACAAGGCACATCAATCTCTGTGCGACACTCCAGGACTAAGAGATGTTCCTGCGCAAGTTTTATAGATAAAGAGTGTGTCTACTTTTGCCACCTGGACATAATATGGGTCAACACACCAGAGTAAGTCATAACAAACATTATATTTGATGACTTTAAATGTACAAACAATATATATACCTGTAAATCATTATTAAATAATGGAATGACTAACGTTGTCTTCTAATTATGTTTTCTTCCCCCCCAGGCGAACAGTGTCATATGGACTTGGAAACGCTCCACGTAAGAAGCGCTCAGTAACAGAACCTGTTGTGCCCAAGTCACGCTGCAAATGTGCAGATAGTCAAGACAAAACATGCTCTTCATTTTGTCAGCTGGACAATTCGTTACAGTAAGTACACACTGAATGCTAATAATGTGAACAACGTCATAGTTCAAAGCCAGATAGTTTTAATCTTAAAACCAATTTTAAGGTCACAGGACTTACTGGTTAAAAAATATTTGGGACACACTTGTTTTCCCGAGCTGTGTGTGGGAACCTCAGTAATAATCTACAGGCATAATTGCTGTCACTGCATGACTTGACGAACTTGTAGAAACAGGTTTCAGTTCTATTTTTGGACTTTTATCAAACTTGTTCAGGAATTGACTGCTCATGTCTAATGTGAACTTTCTTTTTTAGGCATAAAGCAGCGTCAGACAAGGCAATCCATGCCGCCCAGGGCCAAGATTGTGCCGAGAAGCAATGCAAACACAAACTGGCAGACAAACAGACAAAGATTAGACGGTAAAACAAACCACATAGATTAAAAAAATAAAGCAGCACATTCGCATTCTCACATACATTTAAGGAATTATTTTGGTTGCTTTAATTACAAGCCTCTGTAAGATTGATATCTCTTGTGGCTGTGACAAAAAAAGTACATTATATAAGTACATTAACTTTGAAAGAAAATATTTTGTTGAAGACTGGAGTATAAAGTGGATTTTACTTTCAATGTGTTCAGCTTATGGCTACAATGAAAATTAGAGTCTTAAACTCAAATTTGGGGGCACTAGAGTTTTTTTTATGTTTTTAAAATCATGAATGCAAAAAATATACAAGATATATATTTATACATATATAATCTCCACTATAGATGTACCGTAAAATCTTACATTTCAGGGTGTTGCATCTATATTGAACTCTTAATTCTCAATATATCTGAGCATCTGATTTAAGTTGTACCACTAGTACTTGCCAGGTAAATCTGGTCAAGGTTTCTACCTGTGTTTGCTTTGATAATAACCTCATTGCTTTGTTTTTTCTATAGGGTGAAAAACACAACACAGATTGGTGACATCCTCTCCAGAGTGAGGGCCATCAAGAGGATCCATCTTCTGGAGAAATGGCGAGTGAGGCGGCACCACAGGGCACGAGCGTGGACGTCTGAAAATGCTGCCTTGTAGAGATCAGGCTCATCTTTGCTGATCCACCACAGGATTTACCTGGATAAGAAGCTCCTCTCTGCTCATTTATCGCACACGTCTTGTGTTTTCATGCCATGGGGTGTCATCAGGTGTGTTGGAATACCTGCAGATGCAAGCGTCTTGGATTGTGATGTTTGTCATGTGGGCTTCACCTTAGAGGTGAGTCGGCATCAGTGTGGAGTTGTGGAGCTCAACGGGATAAAAACCAAGGAAGATGTTGACTGAAACAAACCAAACCTCAAATTATAAAGACTAAGCTCTATCAACACTAAACTTTTCTGAACTAGACCTTTTGGTGCATGGGATAACTAGTTGGAGAAGCCAAGTGGGATGTTTAAATTAAACTGATTGCAAATAAAGACTAGCATTGAAGATACTTGTTGCACATGAGGAATATGCTGTAACTAAATGAAACTGTGGAATCAGGGACTCCAGAAACCCAAAGAGATGTGTCGCCCATCAGAGGACACTGAACATCAAGCCACTACAAGCCAAAGACTCTTTCTTGGATCTTGTTACTGGACTCATTCACTTTATTCGCTGTAAAACAATGAAGCTCTGCAATTGCGTCAATGCATCAATGGAATTGCTATTTTTCACATTTATGTTAAATATTTATCTTTAGCCATATTGGCTAATAAGATTTTTCTCAATGTTATTTCTATGAAATGATAACATTTAATTGCCATTAATGTGGTAAACATTGTTAGGTAATAATAAATATTTTGCGATATTTAAACAAATTTTGTGAATTTTTCTGTTTATTATTTTACGTCCCACTGAAATGCATAATTTCATTTGCTCCAACAATATTAACATTTAATAGAACAGAATCATGTGCCCCAACTGCAATGTGTGTGTGTGTGTATATATACAGTGGGTACGGAAAGTATTCAGACCCCCTTAAATTTTTCACTCTTTGTTATATTGCAGCCATTTGCCACTGTATATATATATATAGATATATATATATATATATATATATATATATATATACTGTAAAAGTACCATGTTCTCACCATGTCCTCATATTTTTGTAAGCAGTCTCTGTGCTGATTTTAAAATTATGCAAATGTGACAGATAAAAGACAAACAGTAAACACTTTCAATAATAGTAGTTTTTTTTTATTATTAATATAGGTTGTTTTTTTTTT